ACTGCACCAAAAATTGACAAAGGACGGTATGGTGATCACGGAACATGATTAAAAAACAGCAGACACACGGAATAGCAGGATGGACTTCCGAAAACCAAATTAGTGAGTTAGAAAATCAGATTAAATTGAGGTCAGGGTAGAAACTGAGATAATTTATGAGAGGTAAAATAAAATTTTAAAAATTAGAAATGGAGCCTTGATTCAGGAGAAGACTTCATAGAGAGACTAAAAGAGAAATGGGCGTTCCAACGTGAGTAAGTTCTAGAGCTGTGCTGTACAATATTGTATATTGTGGATGTGTCGGGCACTTCAACATTTCACAGGGTAAGCTATGTTAAGTGTTCTTACCACAATAAAAATTGAAAGTTCCTGAAAGATCCGATTGGATGTGGTCAAATAAAACAATAGGAAAAAATTCTTTGGGATAAAATAACAATAATCATCAAACAAACTCGAATCTTCGGATCCAAGTCCCGTAGTGCAAAGCAAAATTAAAGAAACACCAGAACAAAACACAGCCTGGGGCTTTGCTAAATTCCAGGGGTAACGTAGAAGAATGAGAATGTGCATCGTTTACTGGCATAAACCTAGTCAAGTAGCAAAACAGACACTATTGCTAGCACCAGAAAACCCACACTATGTTATAATGCTGATTGAGTTACTTACAAAAGCACTGAGATCATAGCAAGGTAATTATCAGAAGATCGGGAAACAAATTCACTCTCCTATGACAAATATAGTCTCTAACTCTAAGTGAACAAATACAATTTTCTGTTACAAACATTTTATCAAACATAATCTCAAGGTTACAAGCCAACAATCTTTGGAAGATCCATATTAAAACAAGTCTATCTTCCAATGTTCTAAACAAGTTTAGGACTACCAGGGTGGCTCAGTCAACTGGGAGTCTGCTTTCACCTTGGGTCATGATCTGGGGTCCTGGGATCCAGCCCCAAGTTGAGTCCTGTATCAGGCTCCCTGCTCCGCAGGGAGTTTGCTTCTCCCCCCTCCCTCTGCCTGCTGCTCTCCCCACTCATGCTCTCTCTCCATCTTTCTCTCTCAAATAAATAAATATTTTTTTTAAAAAAAGAGAAGTTTAGTGAAAAGACTATATAGAAATCCAACTTTATGATGACAAGATACAGATTCAGACTTAACTTTATTGTTTATAAAATGGCTGTAACAATTTCTACCCTTCTTCCTCGACCTTCTCATCACAGGGTGATGACTGACAGTGCTCCTAGAAACTTTGAGGGTACAATTTTATCTGTAGTGCTAACCAAGACTGAGACTACTTATAAAAATTTATTGAGAGATATCTTTTAAAAAAGATTTTATTTATTTGACAGAGAGAGAGAGAGAGAGATCGTAAGTAGACAGAGAGGCAGGCAGAGAGAGGGGGAAGTAGGCTTCCTGCTGAGCAAAGAGCTTGATGTGGGGCTCGAACCCAGGACACTGAGATCATGAGCTGAGCCAAAGGCAAAGGCTTAACCCACTGAGCCACCCAGGCGCCCCTACTAAGGGATATCTTAAAAGACCTAAATAATTGGAATTAGAAGATTCAATGTTACAAAGATGCTGGTTCTTCACAGAGAGATCTCTAGATTCAACACAATCTCAATCTAAATTCCAGCATTTTCTCATTGTGGAATCAAGCATGTGGAAATGTAAAAGACCAAGAATAGCCAAAATATTCCTGATATAAGATGATATCAGATATTTTATTTTATTTATAAAGATTTCATTTATTTATTCATGAGAGACAGAGAGAGAGGCAGAGGGAGAAGCAGATTCTCTGCTCGATCAGGGAGCCCAATGTGGGACTTCATCCCAGGACCCTGGTACCATGACCTGGGCTGAAGGCAGACACTTAACCAACTGAGCCACTCAGGCACCCTATTTTATTTCATTTTCTAAGATTTTTAATTTATTTTTAAGTAAGCTCTATACCCAGCATGGGGCTCAAACTCACAACTCTGAGATCAAGAGTCACATATTCGGGGCACCTGGGTGGCTCAGTGGGTTAAGCCTCTGCCTTCGGCTCAGGTCATGATCTCAGGGTCTTGGGATGGAGCCCTGCATCAGGCCCCCTGCTAGGTGGAAAGCCTGCTTCTCCCTGTCCCTCTCCCCCTGCTTGTGTTCCTTCCCTCGCTGTGTCTCTCTCTGTCAAATAAATAAATAAAATCTTTAAAAAAACAAAGTCATAGTAATTAAGACAATGTGCTATTGACATAAGGACAGATCAATAGACTAGTGGAACATATTAGAATCCAGAAGTAGACCCACATTATATATGGACACTTGATTTATGATAAAATGGCTCTCCAGAACAGTAGTACCAGGTCAATCAGAAATCCATGTGAAAAATTGAAATTTGGGGCATATAGCCAGCTCAGTCAGTAGAGAATGTGACTCTTGATCTCAGAGTCGTGCACGTTGAGGGTAGTGATTACTAAAAATAAGTAAATTAATAAACTTAAAAAAAGCTATTTTTTAAGAAATAAAATTTGACCCCTTCCTTGTTCTATATGAAAATGAAGTCAGTTGTAGGTTAATTAAACCTCTGTGACCAGCAAAAAATGAAACTTCTAGGAGGGTCATAGATAAGTTTCTTAAACAGCATCCCCAAAACCACTAACCATGAAGGAAAAGATTGATCAATTTGACCACATTTAAATTTGGAGCTTCTGTTCATTCATAGAGTGGGAGGAAATATTTGCAGTATGTGCAATTGACGAATGCATATGGAGCAGGTGGCACTCTCTTCTGCTGTTTATTTATTTCAGGAGATAATCTGGCATAATCTACTGAAGTCGGGCATGTAAATGCCCTATGATGATTCTTTCGGATAATGACCTAGGAGTAGAATTGCCATGTGAACCAGGAGACAGCTCCAAACTGGAAACTGGCCTTATTGCATATGTTTCCTAGTGGCTCTGTTTTTTTAAAGATTTTATTTATTTATTTGACAGAAAGAGAGAAAGCACACAAGCAGGGGGAGTGGCAGGCAGAGGGAAAGGGAGAAGTAGTCTTCCCACTGAGCAGAGAGCCTGATGCGGGACTTGATCCCAGGAAGCTGGGGACATGACACAAGCAAAAGGCAGACGCTTAATGACTGAGCCACCCAGGCATCTCTTTAGTGGCTCATTTTATTTATTTTTTATTTTTTAAGATTTTATTTTATGTATTTGACAGAGAGAGAGAGATCACAAGTAGGCAGAGCAGCAGGCAGAAAGAGAGGGGAAAGCAGGCTCTCTCTACTGAGCAGAGAGCCCGATACGGTGCTTGATCCCAGGATCCTGAGATCATGACCCAAGCTGAAGGCAGAAGGTTAACCCACTGAGCCACCCAGGCACCCCAAGTGGCTCATTTTAATTGCTGTATGCTCTTCCATTATATAGTATATATCACAATTTATCCACTGTTTTTCTGATAGAATTCTAATACATCATTTATGCTGGTTCTTCTATGGAGGTGATCATCTTTTCTTAAAAATTAACTTGTAAGATGGGGTACCTCGGTGGCTCAGTCAGTTGAACATCCAGCTCTTGGTTTCAGCTCAGGTCATGGTCTCAGGGGTCATGGGATTAAGCCCCAGGTTGGGTTCTGCTCTCGGTAAGGAGTCAGCTTGAGGATTCTTTCCCTCTGCCCCTCCCCCCACTCATTCACCCACATGCTCACTCTCTCTGTCTTTGTCTTTCTCTATAATAAATAAATAAATAAATATTAAAAAAAACATTAACTCAGGGGCGCCTGGATGGCTCAGTGGGTTAAAGCCTCTGCCTTCAGCTCAGGTCATGATCTCAGGGTCCTGGGATGGAGCCCCGCATCGAGCTCTCTGCTCAGCGGGGAGCCTGCTCCCCGCCCCCTCTGCCTGCCTCTCTGCCTACTTGTGATCTCTGTCAAACAAATAAATAAAATCTTTTAAAAAATGGTTTAAAAAAAAAACATTAACTCATGGGGCGCCTGAGTGGTTCAGTTGTTAAGTGTCTGCCTTCAGCTCAGGTCATGATCCCAGGGTGCTGGGATGGAGCTCCACATCAGGCTCCCTGCTCAGTGGGGATCCTGCTTCCTCTTCTCTCTCTGCCCTGCCCCGCTCATGCTCTTTCTCTCTGAAAATAAATAGATAAAATCTTGTAAAAACAAAACAAAACAAAAAAGCATTAACATGTAACAGTTCTCTGTGTGTTGAGGATCTTAACCTGTTTGTCATATATGCTATGAAATGTATTATCTAATTTGTCATTCATCAGTTATATTTCTTTACAATATTTTGTTTTATGAAAGCTTTACATTTTTTATGCAATAAGTTTATCATCAGTACTTTCTTTTTATTTATTTATTTATTTATTTGACAGACAGAGATCACAAGTAGGCAGAGAGGCAGGCAGAGAGAGAAGAGGAAGCAGGATCCCCACTGAGTGGAAAGCCCGATGCGGGGCTCGATCCCAGGACCCTGGGATCATGACCTGAGCCGAAGGCAGAGGCTTTAACCCACTGAGCCACCCAGGCGCCCCTATCACCATTACTTTCAATTATGATTTGGGGTTTTATGACATGCTTAAAGTAGCTTTTTCCACACCAAGATTATAAAAACATTAACCCATATTTTATTCAAATATGTATATGGTTTTATTTTTGTTTAGTCCTTGATCCATCTAGAAGTTATTGGTTTTTGTGTAGGGCCTTTCCTTCCATGCATCCAAAAGAATAGTCCATCATCATATTAAACCATCTCTCTTTTCCCCACTAATATGAAATGTCATTTTGATCATTCAAGTCATGTGTACACTGTTGTAAGGTACAGTAGACACCACGGGGCAAATAAAATACCTGAGAATTCTTCGAGCCTAAAAGGAAACACAGATGTTTGTACATAGGCAGTAAAAGATGCTCTGTGTTTAGCTGTCAGAGAAAGGTGGGGGGAGGGTCGTATGCATAGATGATGTCATAAGGAGCAGTGGAGTTCTAGTTGGAATTTTAGAGACTTTACAGGGAGACTCTGACCAGTGTCTTCCGCAGACCACTGCACTCTGAAGACTGAAGCCTAATTCACTGACTTCTTTGATTCCCTTGTCCCTAAGTCAATTTTCAGGTAAGCAGCTTCCCACCTGACATGGGTCTCTTTAAGTCCTATCAAACAGTAGATGAATGTATTAGTTATAAATGTCTTAAGTAATAGAAAGTCCAAATTAGGGGGCACCTTGGTGGCTCAATTGGTGAAGCGTTTGCCTTCAGCTAAGGTCATGATCCTGGAGTCCTGGGTTCGAGCCCCGGGATCAAGCCCCGTGTCCAGCTCCCTGTTTGGCGGAGAGTCTGCTTCTCCCTCTGCCTCTCACCCTGCTTGTTCTCTCTCTCTCTCTCTCAAATAAATAAATAAAATCCTTAAAAAAAGAGAGTCCAAATTAGAATGGCTCAAATAGGGGTTATTTTTCTCATACCAAGAAGCCTAGAGGTGGGCAGATGGAGGTGTTTGTTTAGTAACTTGAAACTGTCAGAGTCAAAATAGATGTCATTATCTTGGCCTTTCCTTCACGTACATTGCCTCGTGGTCACAGATGGCTGCTCCAACCTCAGGTAATCCTTAAACAATGTTCAAGGAGCAAAAAGAGAAAATGGCAAAAAGTCTTCCCAGATGCTACCCAACAGATTTCTGTTAGTCTTCATTGTCCAGAACTATGTTTTTATCTTTTCTTCTATTTTATTTTATTTTTTATCATGTTATGTTAGTCACCATAGAATACATCATGAGTTTTTGATGCAGTGTTCCAAGACTCATTGTTTAAGTATAACACCCAGTGCTCGGTGTTATGCAGATCATCCGTGCCCTCCCTAATACCCACCACCAGGCTCTCCCAACCCCCCAACCCCTCCCCTGCAAAACCCTCAGTTTGTTTCTCAGAGTCCACAGTCTCTCATGGTTCATCTCCCCCTCCATGTTCCCCCAACTCACTTCTCTCCATCTCCCCATGTCCTCCGTGTTATTCCTTGTGGTCCACAAGTAAGCAAAACCGTATGATAATTGACTCGCTCTGCTTGACTTATTTCACTCAGCATAATCTCTTCCAGTCCCGTCCATGTTGCTGCAAAAGTTGGGTATTCATCCTTTCTGATGGAGGCATCATACTCCATAGTGTATATGGACCACATCTTCCTTATCCATTCGTCCGTCGAAGGGCATCTTGGTTCTTTCCACAGTTTGGCAACCGTGGCCATTGCTGCTATGAACATTGGGGTACAGATGGCCCTTCTTTTCACTACATCTGTGTCTTTGGGGTAAATACCCAATAGTGCAATTGCAGGGTCATAGGGTATCTCTATTTGTAATTTCTTAAGGAATCTCCACACTGTTTCCCAAAGTGGCTGCACCAACTTGCATTCCCACCAACAGTGTAAGAGGGTTCCCCTTTCTCCACATCCTCTCCAACACTTGTTGTTTCCTGCCTTGTTAATTTTGGCCACTCTAACTGGTGTAAGGTGGTATTTCAATGTGGTTTTGATTTGTATCTCCCTTGGCTAATGATATTGAACATTTTTTCATGTGTCTGTTAGCCATTTGTATGTCTTCTTTGGAGAAGTGTCTGTTCATGTCTTCTGCCCATTTTTTGACGTTATTATTTGTTTTTTTGGGTGTTGAGTTTGAGGAGTTCTTTACAGATCTTGGATATCAGCCCTTTGTAGTGTCATTTATAAATGTCTTCTCCCATTCTGTGGGTGGCCTCTTTGTTTTGTTGACTATTTCCTTTGCTGTGAAGAAGCTTTTGATCTTGATGAAGTCCCAAAAGTTCATTTTCACTTTTGTTTCCTTTGCCTTTGGAGACATGTCTTGAAAGAGGTTGCTGCCTGTGCTCTCCCCTAGGATTTTGATGGCTTCCTGTCTCATGTTGAGGTCTTTCATCCATTTAGAGTTCATCTTTGTGTGTGGTGTAGGAGAATGGTCCAGTTGCGTTCTTCTGTATATAGCTGTCCAGTTTCTCAGCACCATTTATTGGAGAGACTATCTTTTTTTCCATTGGATAGTCATTCCTGATTTGTCAAAGATTGGTTGACCATAGAATTAAGGCTCCATATCTGGGCTCTCTGTTCTGTTCCATTGGTCTATGTGTCTGTTTTCGTGCCAGTCCATGCTGTCTTGGTGATCCCAAGCTTGAAATCAGGCAACATGATGCCCCCATAAGTGTCCAACTCTTAATATCAGCTCAGGTCATGATGATAGGGTCGTGAGACAGAGCCTCACGTTGGGCTCCGCACTCACTGTGGAGTCTGCTTGAGATCTCTCTCTCTCTCTCTCTCTTTCCCTCTCTCTTTGCCCCTCCCCTGCTGCTCACTCTCTCTAAAAAAAACAAAAACAAAACCCCACCATTTTCTAACTTTTCAGACAAAGCTGCTTTGGAAAGAGCCAAGGAAAAGGACATCTCCCCCTGGCTGGATGAGCTAGGAGTACAGCTGAGTGACTCTACAGAGAATTCATGGAGCCCTGGAAGGTGCTGAACATTGTGTTTCTGATGAGTTCCTTGAGCTGTGTGTTGGTGGAGACCGCTGCTTCCTCGACACCACTTTCATCTGCTATTGGGATGCAAGACAAAGCAGGGTCAAAACCACGCTCAAGAGGTTTGTTTGCTGTTAGGATCAATGTTCCTATTATCTTTGTCAGACATAAGACTCATGTCTCAGGTCAGGAAAAGCTGGTTTTGTATTGGTGAAAAATAGTGTTCACAGGGGCTCCTGGGTGCCTCAGGCAGTTACATGGCTGACTCTTGATTTTGGCTCAGGTCATGATCTCAGGGTCCTGGGATCAAGCCCCTAATCGGGCTCCATGCTTGGTGGGGAGTCTGCTTGGGATTCTCTCTCTCTGCCTCTGCCCCTCTCCCCACTCATGCTGTCTCTCATTCTCTCTCAAACAAATCAATAAAATCTTTATTTTTTAAAAGATTTTATTGATTTATTTGACAGAGTGAGAGAGTACAAGCAGGAGGAGGGGCCGAGGGAGAGGGAGAAGCAGGCTCTCCGCTGAGCAGGGATCCCCACATGGGCTCCATCCTAGGACCCCGGAATTATGACCTGAGCCAAAGGCAGATGCTTCACCAACTGAGCCCCCCAGGCATCCCAATAAATAAATCTTTAAAAACAGCCAAGAAAAGAAAAGAAAAGAAAAAAGAAAAATAGAGTTCATAGTAAAGCAGACTATTCTGGTTTGGTCAATTTAGATCAATAAGCCCTAACCCAGCAACTGCTTCACAGAAGGATGTAGAGTAGTTCACAGATGGCCAAACCCAGAGACGCAGGTCTTCTGTGAGATATGACAAAGGCTCCCTGAGGACAAAGGGATAATTCCAGTTGTTTGGGAGGAGGGGTTTCATACAAGGGGGCAAAGATGATATCCATCTGAGAGTACCTTTTTTTAATGCAAATCCCTTGAATGACTTAGAGGCATCACCACAAAGTAGTTAAGAATATAGGCTCTGGGGGTGCCTGGGCGGCTCAGTGGGTTGGGCATCTGCCTTTGGCTTGTATCATGATCCCAGGGTCCTGGAATCCAGTCCCACATTGGGCTCCCTGCTCGGCGGGAAGCCTGCTTCTCTCTCCCTCTGCTGCTCCCCCTGCTTGTGCTCTCCCTCTCCGTGTCAGATAAATAAATTTAAAAAAAAAGAATATGGGCTCTGGGCAACTATAAGATCATGATATCTGGGAAAATGACTTGAACTTGGATCAGGGTTCCCATTACAGCCTTCTCATGTACTTGATCTCTCCTCATTAGACATCCGTGCTTTTTTTCTGCAGAACACCACATGTTCTGGCTTAGCAACTTCAGAGATTACCTGTGGGATCGCATCAGGAGCTCTGTGCCTCCAGCTGCTATTTTTGCTTTTCTTCCTGCCATAGCTGTCATGGGGGTCCTCTGCTGCCTCACGTAAGCTGCTGCGGGATGAGGAGAGGGAGGGAGAGGGGACCCTGAGGGAGAGACAGAACAATCAAGCTCCCCACCAGCCTATACATCTATAATTAAGGGTAAGTTTTAAGGAAAGTCATGGTTGTTTTATCCAGCCCACTCCATCCATTAGCAACAACTTACAGGTGACATTCAATAACCAGTGTTTCTGATTTTTTTTTACTAACTTCATTAACTCCTAACTATCTTTCCCTTTGGTTTAGGAATTATACATGGAAAATATACAATTAACTATGTTTTCCAGGGCCACAAATTCAAAATTTGCCACAATATTTATATAAATCATAGAAATCGAAGAGATCCTTGAAATAGTTAACAAAATAAAGATAGGTAGAAAAACCTTAATTTTATTAATCCGATCAGAATTTACTGAGAGATGACTACTTGCCTGTCTCTGTCCTGGTTGCTAGTGAGACAGAGGAATGAGACAACAGAAGAACTGTCTGGTGGGTCAGTGTTACAGTGGGAGACAGAGTCCGAGTGGGGAACCCATGGAAGTATGCTCAAGGGTTGTTTGAACTGCACAGCCTAATAAAACGACTGAGGGCAAAGATCAGCTAAGGGTGTGGCATCCCCACCTAAGACTCCTGATAATCTCAGATGATCACTGGACCAAGAACCTCATCTAGGAAATGACCTTGGGTATGGTTGCTGATACACAGAACCGGTCGGAGCCAAACAGATGTCAGGTAAGTTTTTGAGAGAAGCTTCTTACCTAAGAAACCATGAGCCAGAATTAAATGAGCCTTAAAACAGGACTTGGACTTCTGGTCTTCCATGAGAAGGATATAGGCCTCGAAGTTTCCTAGGATGGCATCTTCCAGGCCCAGAGAATAATGGCTGGGAAGAACCTCCCAGAAGGTGGGCAGTAGGCCACAGAGCTTCTCCTACAAAGTGGCTCGGGCCTAATCAGTATGTGTGCCCAGCAGGGCCACAGGAGCACTTACAGAGCAAATGGCTGCTGTGTGTCTCCCATATTCCTTTCTCCAAATGGGAATATTCGTGGTGGGTATACTCCTCCTGCTCCGTCCTTGTACTGGGCGTGTGGAGAGCCGCAGGTAACTTGTTTTACTTAATACATTACTCAAACCAAGAGCAGCTGCACCCAGATTGGAGAGAAGCAAGCCTCAGCCAGGTACTCTGGACTTTGAGCTGGGTACAGTGATAAATGGGATTTTAGTCTCATGATAAAGTCGTGCCACGAGTCCACTGTTGTGAGACGGGAGTGCTGTGTTCAGAGTTAGGGTTAACTGTCAGGGGCCAACACCTGTGGAGCATAGGGACAGGAAGGGAAAGGTCACACTGCTTTCTTTGCAAGCCCAGCAAAGCCTTGGTTGACCCCATCAGAGCTGTCCCCGTTAGCCTGAAAAGGGTAAAAAAAAATTTTTTTTTTTTTTGAGAGAGAGCATACGAGAACAGGGGAGGGCAGGGCAGCAGGAGAGGGAGAGCAAGAGAAACTCAAGCAGGCTCCACACCCAGCACGGAGCCCGATGCGGGGGCTCCATCCCAGGACCCTGAGCTCATGACCTGAGCCAAAATCGAGAATCGGACACTTCACTGACTGAGCCCCCCAGGCGCCCCTGAAATGGCTGCCACTTTATAGAGGCTGGGTGTGGACAACACTCCCAGCAGCCAGAGAAATCAGGCTGCTCTCAAGGGGGAGCCTGAGCGGCGAGTGTCCTTGTGCCCTACAGGGTGGCTGTACCCCATGCAGGGCAGGAAAAATGAAGCAGATATCAGAACAAGGCCACGTTGCCCAATGAGAGAAGGCGGGACACAAGTGGAGAGCTATCTGATTCTAAATCTCTCCTCGCTGTGACTCAAACTCCCGCCCAGAAGCCTCAGGAGGACTTTGGGGGAGATAAAACCCACAAACGCCCAAGGAAAGACTTCCTTCTTTGAAGTCGATGCCTCAACCTGGGGAGAAGAGCAATGAAAGCCCTTGCTGGGGACAAGCAAGCTGGCTGGGGAAAGAAACACCAGTGAGGACAGTGAGGGCAAGAGGAAAGGCAAGATGGAGTAAAACGAAAGAAGACATGGATGAAAAAATACAAAAGGAGATAGGGAAGACAAGATTTAGGAAAGCCAACACCATTAAATAGACTTAATTTATTTAAAAACCTTATTTAGTTATTAAAAATACCTTAGGGAAAGTGGTATTAAAGGGAAATCTGATAGATGCAGGGGGCACGAAATAACCACTTGGTAGAAGAGACCAAAATCGCACAACAGGAAAAGAACACTTCGAGGTATAATTTTAAGTGTTACAGTAATAAAGGTGGGTTTGAGTCTATAGTCATAAATGGCACATAAAGTCCCAGGAAAAATTGGCAGTTGATACTGGGCACATAGCAGACTCTCAATAATACTGGAATTTTTTAAACGATTTTATTTTCAAGTAATCTGTATCCCCAATGTTGGGCTTGAAGTCACAACCCCGAGATCAGGAGTTGCATATCCCACCAACTGAGCCAGCCTGGTGCCCCAATAATACTGATTTAAAAACACATTTCAGTGGGGTGCCTGGATGGTTCCGTTGTGAAGCGTCTGCCTTTGGCTCAGGTCATGATCCCGAGGTCCTGAGATCAAGTCCCGAATCTGGCTCCCCGCTCAGCCTCTGCCACTGTCCCTCCCCACTACTCGTGCTCTCTCTGTCTCAAATAAAGAGAATCGTTAAAAAAAAAATACATTTCACTGTAAAGACTGGGAGGAGTTTCTCTGTGCCTCTTACCCTCTATCTGGGCTGATACAGCACTAGCTGCTTTGTTGCCTGAGGAAATCAACATGGAAGCCTTCTTCATCTTCCAGGGCGCTGGTGGCGATCAGGGATGCTGACTGCAGCTAACAAGTATGCAAAGAAACATGTATAAGGAGTTTTTAGTATGGTTTATAATAGTGAAAAAATACATAAAACTTACACGGTCACTGGCTGGTTAACGAAAGCACTGAATGTTCATACAATGAGTACTATATGGTCACCAAAAAGTTGTTGTAGAGGATAATTCCATGGAATCCTGTTCATGAAATACTGAGTGGGAAAATGCAGATTATAAGAGAGGATATACAACTGAAACTAATTTGTTATTAGAAACTAGAGTCACCTGGGTAGCTCAGTCTGCTAAGCATCAGACTGTTGATGTCAGTCTGGGTCTGCATCTCTGCGGGGTGAGCTCAAGCCCCGTCTCCACTAGCATGGAGCCTACTTAAAAACAAACAAAAAAATTAATTTAAAAAAAAACTATATGTAGGGGTGCCTGGGTGGCTTAGTGGGTTAAAGACTCTGCCTTCGGCTCCGGTCATGATCCCAAGGTGCTGGGATCAAGTCCCACATCGGACTCTCTGCTCAGCAGGGAGCCTGCTTCCTCCTCTCTCTCTGCCTGCCTCTCTGCCTACTTGTGATCTCTGTCTGTCAAATAAATAAATTTTTAAAAAAGTTTAAAAAGCTTTTAAGGATCTAACCAAAGTATTAGACATTGGTTATCTCCTTGTGGTGGTAAAAGGGTGGTTGTAATTATTATTACTATTGTCATTATTGATTTTCATGTTGATTTTCATCTAACTGTGTTTCCCAATCTTTTCAGAACAAACTGTGTTGTTTGGTAAGTAAGTTTTTTTAGCAAATACTTGATTTTCCTAAAAGGTGTGTTTATTTGAGAGAGAGTGCAAGTGGAGGGGCAGAGGGAAAGGGAGAGAGAGAATGTTCAAGCAGACTCTGAACATGGGGCCCAATGTGGGTCTCGATCCCACGACCCATGAGATTGTGACCTGAGCCAAAACCGAGAGTCAGACACTTAACTGACTGAGCCACCCAGGTGTCCCCAAAAGATACTGTAAAAACAGAAGAGGGGCACCTGGGTGGCTCAGCCAATGGACCATGTGACCCTTGATCTTGGGGTCATGAGTTCAAGCCCCATGTTGGGTGTACAGATTGCTTAAAATAAATTTTAAAATATTAATCACTCAATAAAAACAGAAGAAAAGCTACCTAACCATAGGTCTACATCTACCTCCAATCCCAACTATACAATGCTAGAAACATTCATACTCTTATTTTCTCAAGTCATCAAAGCATTTTGTCTGAATGAAATTACGTGGTTCATATTAAGAGGAGATGTTGTCTAAAATCATTTGTTGGAAAAGGGAACTACAAAGTACCTCGATGCAATCCAGACCACTTAGTTCATCGATTTCGCTTCTTTTCCCAGTATTCTCGTAGGTGACCCAGGCCAGTGAAGTTCTGGAAGATTCAGCTGTGCAGAATATGCTATTTGCTTACAATGAGGAAGTTCCCATGAATTAAAATTAAATTGTCTTCCATCTTAAACTATTTTTGCCTTTATTTTCACCTTTAAAACATGTAGTCAAAAAATGGGAATAGCCTTATTACTGTTTTGATTATAAGAGTATTACGTATTTACTACAAAAAAATTTTTACAAAATACTGAAAGAAGAAAAAGTACCTGTAATCCTAGTACACAAAAATAAACACTGCTTTGTTTAAGATTTTATTTGTCAGAGAGAGAGAGCACAAGCAGGGGAGCAGTAGGCAGAGGGAGCAGCAGGCTCCCCATGGAGCAAGTTGAGAATATAGGGGAGCAGGGACAGGGGCTGGAGGCTAGTGGGGTGACAACTTCACTTGGACCCAGCGGGGAGCAGCCGATTCTGGAGTCATTGTGAAGGGAGAGCCTGGCAGGATCTGATTCTAAGTTGGATGAGTGTGGGGGAGAGCGAGACTTCAAGGATGCCTCGCAGGCCTGTGGCCCGAGCCAGTGAAGGGAGGGAGTCATCATTTACTGAGCTGAGGCAAACTACTGGAAGGTAGGAATTTGCTACATGGAAAATGCAAAGAGAAAGAAAGACCAAAATGCTATTGGTCTTGCTAAAATGCTTGATGCTGAGATGAGATCTAGGGAGCTGTGGGCCGCAGCCACACCGCAGGCCAGAGGGGAACTTGGGTAAGACCGACAGGCTGCTGAGAGCATGATCAGACCCAAAGACCATGGGCTGCCCTAGAGGCCAATGGGGAACAAGTGGAAAAAGTGAACAAATTCGTCGTCCCCCTCCCCCCACCCCACCGTAGCATCACCAGCCCCTCCTCGTCCCCAGGGCAAACCCTGTCCCATCTTCTAGCACCAGAGCCTTGCCTGTTTTTAAACTTTATAAAACCTCAGTCATATGTACGTGTTCTGTGGTTTTCTTTCTTTACTTGCTTTATGTTCTGAGATTCTCCCAGCTTGATACTTGGAAAGCATTCTCCTTATTCAGACCATCGAGTGTACAAGGACATTTCTACTGTTTCCGGGTTGGTTGGTTTGTTTTCTCTTCTCCATAAAGCTTCTATAGGCATTATTGCCTGTCTCACACTGCACACGAACGAGAGTTTCCCTACAGAATGTGCCCTGGAATTGACTTGCTGGGTCAAGGGGTAAGTGCACGCCCCACCCCAAGGTCAGTGCCGGCTTCCCTCAAGTGACTGCACGGATTTGCACTCCTCCCACCAGGAGGGAGGAACGGTCCCAGTGTCCCGCCCGCTTGAGAACAGGAAACATCATCGGTCTTTTCATTGCTTGCCAGTCTGGCCCATGAGAAATTACACCCTGTTGTTTTCTTTGTATTTCCCTGAAAACCCATGAAACCGAAGACCTTTTCATGTATTTGTGAATCATTTGTCTTTCTCTTCTATGAAATTCCTATGAATGAATTTTTTTTTAAAGATTTTATTTATTTATTTGACAGAGAGAGAGAGATCACAAGTAGGCAGAGAGGCAGGCAGAGAGAGAGGAAGGGAAGCAGGCTCCCTGCTGAGCAGAGAGCCCGATGCGGGACTCGATCCCAGGACCCTGAGATCATGACCTGAGCCGAAGGCAGCGGCTTAACCCACTGAGCCACCCAGGCGCCCCTCTATGAATGAATTTTGCCCACTTTTCTAATGTGTAGTTTTATTCATTCTTCTATAGGAATTCTTTACATATTCTGTATACCATTGTTTTGAACACTATTGATGAGGAAAATACCTTCTTCCAGTTCGAGGATTGCATCTGCACTCTTGATAAGATGTATTTTGAAGAAGGGACATACTTACTTTAAAGTGATCAAATTTGGCAATCACTTTCTTCTAAGAAATCCTTTTTTACCCCATTGTCATAAAAGAAGTCTCCTACATTGCCTTCTAGAAGTTTTGTGCTTTTACCTTTCACTTTTAAGTCCTTACACTATTCAAACTAAGTTTTATATGGTGTGAGGTAGAGTCCAATTGTATTTTATTTTATTTATTTTTTAAGGTTTTATTTATTTGACAGAGAGAGAGAGAGAGAGAGTGCACAAGCAGTGGGAGCATCAGGCAGAGGCAGAGGGAGAAGCAGGCTCCTCATTGAGCACAGAGCTCCATGCAGGGCTCGATCCCAGGACCCGGGGATCATGACTTGAGCTGAAGACAGACGCTTAACCAACTGAGCCACCCAGGCGGCCCCAATTTCATTTTTTTAATACTGTGAGAAGCTATACTTTTCCATTCATGAACTTTGACCTGGAATTCTGTGCCTAAAGGCAGTTCTAGGAACTGAGAAAAACAGATAATTGCAATAAATTCCAAGAAGCAATAAATTCCAAGGAGCAAAGCCAGATTCTGAGCAATGAGCACCCTGAACTGGAACGGGCCACCCAGGAAAAGGCTGTGTGACCATCCCTTCTCTGAGCCCGCTGACTCACTTGTCGGGTACTTTTCCACCCTGAGCTATGCCTCGATAACAACTTCAGCTAAATTTTGCTCAAGGGGTCACTCTCTCTGAAGATCTTCTGAGAGCAGTAGTTTGGATAAAGTGTTTGCCTTCACTTCTAACCGGCCTCAGCTTCTATTTTGCTAAGATCCATTTCCAGTACGGCCAGTGCCACAGAATCCATAGGCCGGCTGAGTCTTCCAAACCATGACCATGACTTCTCTCTATTTCTGAGCTCTTCTGCTGTAGTGGATTCCAACAGAATGTTATAATTCTGTCTCCACAGTATATAGAGTCACATTTATTTCTAAGTATTTTATTGTTTTAGACGTTACACTGAATGGTATCTTTTAAAATCATATTCTCTGTGTGTTGTTGGTATGTAGAAATGTAATCAATTTCGGTATTTAAAAAGCTATCAGGGGCACCTGGGTGGCTCAGTGGGTGAAGCCGCTGCCTTCGGCTCAGGTCATGATCCCAGAGTCCTAGGATCCAGCCCCGCATCATAGGGCTCTCTGCTCAGCGGGGAGTCTGCTTATCCCTCTGGGGTCTCCCTCTCTCTTTCTCTCTCTCAAATAAATAAATAAAATCTTTTTAAAAATAAAAAAATGAAAATAAGATTATATTAATAGCCTTACACTTAGCGCTTTTTGTTTTTAATAAGTTATTGATAGATTTTTTTTTAGTTTACAAAGATAATACAATATCTGCTGATAGTGACAATTTTGTTTCTTCTTTTCCAATCTTTGTACCTTTATAATAATTTTACTTTTACCTTACCTTATACAGGTGCTCATGCTCTCTATCTCTTTCTGTCAAATAAATAAAATCTTTGAAAAAAATTGAATATTTTTCATCTATTGAGATAATAGGATTTTCCCATTAATATGGGAAATGCAGTTAATTTGGATTAATGCGTTTTCTTTTTTAAAATATATTTATTTACTTGAGAGAGAGAGAGCATAAGCAGGGGGAGCAACTCAGGGGCTGGATCCCTGGACCCTGGGATCGTCACCTGAGCTGAAGGCACTTAATCCACTGAGCCACTCAGGAGCCCCCAAATTTTCTTTTTTAAAAAAGATTTTATTTCTTTAGACAGAGAGAAGGGGGCGGGGCAGAAGGAGAGGGACTCTCTGGGAGAGAGAGCTCAGCCTCACTACCCTGAGAACATGGCTTGAGCCAAAATCAAGACTTGGACACCCAACCACTGAACCACCCAGGCGCCCCTGGATTAATAAATTTTCTAACGTTAAGCTAATCTTGAATTCAAATATCTGAAGGTTTTGGTCCAATTTGGTTATCTGTCGTTCTGCTGGATCTCACCCATGGGTCCTTGTATTTTGATTGTATGTAGTATTTTATTTATTTTATTTTTTTCTTTTACTATGAGCTGCAAGGGCCGAACTATGCTTATCAATTCTCAAGGGAGAATTTGTGTTGAGCCCTTTGTGGTAGACTCAGTTAGTCCTGCAGAAAATGGGTGAGTGCTTGCCAGGGGCTAAAGACCACAGGACTGGGCAGTGACTGAAATGATGGCTTCATTTGGAGTGATGACAGTGTTCTGAAATGAGAGTGGCGATGACTGTACAACTCTGTCATTATGCTAAAAGTCACTGAATTGTTCACTTTAAAAAAAAGATTTTATTTTTATTTATTTATTTGCGAGAGAGGGAAGAAGAGCATGAGCAGGAGAGAGGGGCAGAGGGAGAGGGAGAAGCAGGCTCCCTGCTGAGCAAGGAGACTGACTGGGGACTTGATCCCAGGACCATGGGATCATGACCCGAGCCCAAGGCAGACGTTTCACCAGCTGAGCCACCCAGGCCTCCCTGAATTGTTGACGCTAAGTGGGTGAATTTTATCTTGTCTTGGGCCAGCCCTCAGAGGAATTGGGGAATTGGGAAAAAGGAAGAATGGTTTGGCTCAGAAGAAGCAAGGCCATGTGTTCTGCGGTTTCTCTACCTAGACTGTAGTTCTGAATACATTCTCTGCGCACAGAGGAAGGTCTGGAAACCTAATACTCCAAAGTGGGTAAGGTTGTTCCCTCTGCGTATTGGGAAGGGGTAAAGGAGGGATTTTTCTGTACTTTATATATTTGTGTATTTCTGATTTGTTTTCTTCTTAGTTGTGTGAGTATGCCACGGTTGATGGGCATTTGAGTTGTTCATAGGCTTTTGCTATGAACAAAACCATTTTCATGAGCATTGTTGTCCACGTTCTTTGTTGTACATATTCAAGAATTTCTCTTGGATATATATACGTAGGAGTAGAATGGCTGGCTAAGAGGGTAGATGTGTGGACTCATATGGACTCACATTGTCTCTCACAGTTGATATTTTAAGTCTTTAAATTTTGATAACTGGGTGGGTATATAGTAGTATTTCATTGTGGTCTTGATTTGCATTTCCCTGGTCACTAATGAAGTTGAATATCTGTTCCTATGTTTATTTCTCCATATGTGAGATATTTAGCCATGTTTTTTACCCATTTCTCTACTGGACTTTTAAAATTTAGTAATATATAATCCTTTGTATATTTATAACAGGAATCCTTTGTCATTTGTGTATGCTCAGAATA